TTTTGGAATGGCAACTGCCTTTATTCATGCAACACTTTGACCCTGGTACATGAAATGGATCCTAATCACAGCCACAGCAAAAAAAATTACAAAAATGCTTCAGTCCCTCACACACCTTACTGACCAGGATCTGCATGTACAGACAGTGTACGCACGGAAGAAAAGACTCCAGAAGGAACACTGTTAAGAGGGCCTGCATCCCTCATCCAGGTATAAGTAGGGCATCTGCATTTAATTGGATCTCTAACTGTAGGAACACATATGCACAAAAAGCTCCAACTGCCACTACCTAGCAAAAAAGAGTGGCAGGTCCTTGACATCTGAACAGAATCCAAAGAGGCAAGAATCAGGAGAAGAAGGAATGGATTAAAATGTTTTGCTATTTTTCTACCTATCCTTATGTTTCTATATTGTATTTCCCACACCTATGCTGTAATAATTCCCTGCCTCATCTTCATACAGCAATAGGAACCCAAAACATTTTTATATTGGTGCTTGCACTGCCTGCACATTAGAGATACTCATACGTGATTGAGTATCGCTGCTCCAGTCCTCTTGGTGGACCTGACACCTCCTAGTTTCTGGTTTAACAGGCAAGAACTTGAAGTACCTTCTGCCATCTGGATAGTTACCAGAACACAAAACCAGAAATAGAATGGAAAAAACTGGTGGCTGAAATTGTAATACACTTCTGCAGTCCTGATCCAGAAATCAAAACCACAGAACACATGGCCACCCTTCACTTAAGAGAGCGATGAGTGGCCTGCTTATGGAATCAGGTCATTTATCCTATAACGAACTTTGTTTTGGGGGAGGGGGTTGGTATCTGCTAGCCTCATCATCACTTAGAACACATTTATTAAGTAATGCCCAAATTATACAGATCATACCTTTACAGAAAATAAACACATCAGTTAGATGACAGAAGATTACATACTCATTCTGTCAGCAAGACATTTTCACAGGATTTAAAGCAGAGGAGGTAGATTCAAATGACTGGAAATTCACTGATGTACAAGCAGTGCCTGTGAGGGCTTCTGTTTCCCCTGCACCTCCATTTTGGAGTATTCTAAACACTGGCAATAGCTACACAGCTGCTTCCTTTCGATAAAAGGTTGGAGCATATTTAGCCAATTAAAAGCTATGCAAATGTCTCACACATAACTTCCAGGAATTTGTTCTGCAAGATGAATTTTTATTATTACAAAAAGTATTTATCAAATTATTTAGTTAAGTATTTCCTTCATGAAAACAAGCACAAGACTACAGAAATGTGCAACATTACCATAAAATGTGAATTCAAGGAAGGTTTAAAAATTATATTATCATTATAAGGTTATATAAATCTCTGTGTCCTGCTGTCCACAGGTGTACATGTACATCCCCTACAATCCCTTCTGAAGTAATCAGAGGACTACATCATGCATTTTACAATAGTTTAATTAGCACACATCTTTTGATTTCCAACAGTACATTACTTAGGTACCAGACAGATAAGTAGTTACAAAAAAAGACTTAATAATAACCATCTTTCTATACAAACTCCAGTGAAAAAGGTCTTTTATTCAATCCTCTGGAGGAGAACCAAAATTTAAGGCTCCACCAACATAATTTTGAAATAGTCTGGACTAAAGGAATAGAAAGTGTTACTCAATCCTCTGGCACCCCTTTGATTTTTCTTTTGAATATTCATCAAATAGCAGCAACTTAAACCATTTCAAATCCATTTCTCAATGCAAAAACCACATCCCGTTGTTGCTACACACCCACGCAAGGAGACAAAAGGGTCCATCCAAGCCTCTCCTAAATTAACAGCACTCTAGAGAAGGCTAGCCATACACCAGCTCAGACTCTGGACTCAGCACTGCTCCATCCAGTCACCCCCCTGCTCTACCCTTAATCTTCTGTCGTTACCTTAACCTAATCAGACCAGAACAATAAATAAGGGGGAGAGAGGGAAGGAAGAAAGGGATGTTTCACTTCTGAGACATAGTATAACTGTTAAAATGTATGTGTTTTAATCTGCATGATTTAGTCACATGCTTCTAGAGAACATTTATAAACTTCATGGTTTGCCCACCTGTGTTTAACACGCCATCCTCTATTCACCCCTCAATCTCCTCTTTTTAAAAGCAAAAAAAAAATGCTCAAGAACCAATCAGAAAAAGGTTCAGAACAAAGGGCAGATGCAAATATATTAATGTAAGTAAAGCATAACAAGCTAAATGTAGCAACACATGCAAGTGCTGTACAGCAATGTTACTTACTGCTACAGAGCAGTTCATTTTGAAGAAACAAAATGGTGTTTCATTTTGACAGTACTTTGACTATGAATCTTAAAAAAGAAGACTGAAAGGTAGTCATGAAGTCTATCACAATAATTAAGTGCTCCATTAAGAATAATCATAATTTATATTTAAGGGTAACAAATATGTAGGGATGAAAAGAAAATAAAGTGTCTTAAAAATTATGTAAATCACAAAAAAAAATTACAGTACCATTTTATATTCTATACTACAACTAAATAAATATTACTTGAACTACACAAAAAAAGGGCTCAAAAACCTTCATGCCCTACCACTGCAGCAGAATGAAAACTTTTAAAATAGTAATAAAAAAATGAAACCCTGTTTCTAGTACACAATATTACTCATTAAAAAAAAAAAAAGTAACAGAAAAGGTTGCAGCTCAACAGCTGGGTTGCAGCAAACACCCTGAGGGGAAAAAAAAAATGGCAGCAACATTTCCAGAAATACAGAATTTGCAGTGAAAATGGAAAGTGTGAACTTACATCCTCTATTTCATCATTTTGACTGGTCCTACAGTAGGGAACCTAAATGAAGCAGTCATATTTCTATGTGTAATACACCTAAACTGACTATAGACTAACTTCCTGAAAGCTTTAATGAAGAGCCTGTCATTCCTTCGTAACACCTACAACCTGTGAAAGAGACTGGTTATCAGCTTCTAATATCACCAATTAACTCACTTTTACATAAAAAATATACATTGCAGTTATGTCAAGAGTTTTTGTGCAGATACAGCCCATCTTATAAAGCCAGACAAACTAAAGGTGGCAAACTTTTGCAGACTTTCCAAAATAAGTGTCACACAAAGTGTATTTAACACATAATGATAACATCGCAATGAAGCAGATGCATATGTATGCAACTCATATTTGTTGGAGTATCAGAGCTACCATCTTTGCAAGGCATATTTGGTGAAAAGCATTACTAAAAGCCTCATGCATAGTCAGAAACAAGATTTAACTATCCTTTTTATAAAAATACCTTTATTTTCTCAAAACATGCTATTGGCAATCCTTCAACAGGTACACAGTACTTAACAGAGTTACAGCTCCATTTCTCTACAGGTTTCCCTATCAAGCAGAGGTAAATCCAGTTCTCTTTTGCAGATGCAGTCAACCAGAATGGACAAGTTTGCTTAGATAAAACATGCCCCAGTAAATGATGATATATGATCTCCACTTACAGCGATCCTGTTTGCTCACTAGAAGAAAGCTAGGACTGATTACGTGCAGGGAACGATTTACATTCATGGGACAGAACACATTACATCCTTTCCAGGTCCTGAAAATGTGCTTCTGCAGCAACAGAAGCCAGTTTACGCTATCGGTCTTAGAAACGTTTAAAGAGCTGCTCTATAAATATTATTTCCATTTCAAAATACCTCAAAAAATTACAAAGCATAGACAGCAGCACATTAAGAGAAAGAGAAATTATAGATATATTTAGAACTAAAAAAAAAAAAAAAAAAAAAAAAAAAAAAAAAGAGGAACCTGGAATTGTGGCTGAAAAAAGAGCCTAACAGCTGTGATTAGTGAGCCGTGTGTTTATACATCTTTCAACATTAAACAAAGCGCTGGGTGAATTTCAGACTGCCTCAGATGGCAAAAGACTGTTGAAAGAAACTTGTTGACAATGTTGTTAAAATAGAAAACTAATATATGATGGCAAAAAACCGAAGCTGATTATAAATGTCAAATATAGGCTTATAAATCAATACACAGAGATTCTGGACTTGAATTTTGGTGCATAATCCAACCATCTGTCGACCAGTTGTGTAGCAAAATCAAGATAACGAGGAAATCTCCAAAAGGACAGCCAAATTCTTTTCCTTCAGCTACTGCACTTCCCTGCTTACGAACATGCCGGCGGTAATCGCACTCTGCCTGCAGATTAACCTAGAGGAGACGACACTCGCCACCAGGAAGAGAGAGATTGCGAGGGCAATCTTGCCAGATAGGGCCGATAAGCAGGGCTCTCAGCTGCCGGAGAAGCAGGCTGCAGAGGCTGAAGCAGACTTGGCCGCGCCGGTGCAGCGGCGCCAAGGGCGGCGGTGCGCGGGGTCCGGGGCCGCTCAGCCCCGCGGCCGGGCAGGTGCGAGCGGGGCTGCTGCTGCTGCCGCCGCTGCTGCTGCTGCTGCTCGGGCCGAGCACAGCGCTGCACCGCGCAGCCCAAAACTTAAACTCGCTGGGGCGGCAGCGGGGTCGTTCCTGACTCCTCTCCCACCGCCGGTACGCCGGCGCGGCTCAGCCCGGAATCCGGCAGTGCTGCGGATCCCGCAGCTCCCCAGAACACCCTCGCCCAGCAGAGACCTCTCAGGAGAGGCTCCCCCCGGGGAAAATATAAACTCTGAGGGGTGCCCGGAGGTGGGAAGTGCCCGAGTAGAGCTGCCTCACATTCGTGGGGAGCACGGGCGGTCCCGGGGCGCACGGCACTCGGGACACGGGGCTCCAGCCCCTTCCGGGACGCCGGGCAGCGCGGCGATGCCCAGCCGCCCGCCCTGGGGCACGGCTGGGAGCTGCCCCGTGCCCAACCTGGACACCAGTTGCTCGACCCGCGGTGAAGAAGCAGTAAAAGGAGCCTGGGGGCGGCAGCAGAGCTCCCGGGCAAGCCGGATCCCTGCCTGCGGGCGGTGGGGCGCTTGCCCCATACGGGGCAGACGGGGGGTCCGACCGCGCAGCCTTTCGTTCTCACCTCCTTAAGTTCCTTGGCGACATCTTTCAGGTCCCCCAGGACTAATTCCAAATCCTCCACAATGATCTTGATCTGCTCTTTCACCTTGGCTTTGGAAGCTGCCGGCGGCCCCTCGGACGGCGAGGAGGAGGAGGATGCGGTCCCCTTGGACTGGGCGGACATCCTTCGGGCAGCCCGGCGCGGCCAGCGGGACACGCAGGTCAGGCGAGCGCGGCGGCCGCCGGCCGCCCGGCCCCGTCCCTCCAGCTCCCGGANATGCAGTGGCCCCGGACAGCGGGGCCAGGGGAGGAGCGCCCACCGTCCGCGCTGCTGGGGGCGGTGGAGGCCGGGCGGCTTCCTCGGGAGAGATGCTCTCCCCCCGCCTTGGCGCCCGAAGGCCCCTGGGGGCGAGAGCACTGTGCTGTGTCTCCCAGAGGGTGCGCGCCGCTGTCTCTCTCCGGAGCCCCCCGCCGTTGTCCGCGGGAGCAGGACACGTGGCACCAGGTCTGATGGGGAAAAGGTCAAAACCCGCCAAAGCAGCCCCCAAAAAGGAAACACTTCTCCTAGCTGACTCATTGAAGAAGACAACACACAGTCCCTGCTGATAAAAGTCATTATTGGAGGGGTGACACTCACACCCCTGTACTGTTAAGTGACCGATTTGGCGCGTCTGGATTGTACATGGCTTGGTTTGGACTAAGGAATGAAGCTATGGAAGGACAGTGTTGTGTAAATGTCACCAAATTGGGAAAAGGCACTTATATGTCCCTGCTCACCTGTATAAACTGCGCTGCAAAAACACAATGATCGGTAGACCCTGTTCTGGTTGTGTATCACACTGTATAGAAATTAATGAGACACATGAGCCAGAGTATCTTTCACGAATATTCTGTGAGGCTCTTTTTCTGGAGTACTGGCCAGTGCCGCGTTGAACACATCCTTCCCCTACTGCTCTTCAGAGATCGATCTGTGGAGCAAAATGAAGAGATTGTAAGATATCACTAACCTCTGGTGGTTTTCCATTTTACTGCAAAAAAGCAAAAAGGAGTTGGTTTAGGTATTTCTATCTTCCACTAGCTATGAACAGCAAAAAGAGGGCATGCAGCCAAATCCTGCTTTGAACATCACCCTGCATGGCTGCAGCTGACTTTGATGTTGTAAATGTTTCTAAGAGTTTTGGCAGCCTGAGATGTTTTAACCTAGCTAAAACAGAACAGGAAAAGCAACCTTGCCCAGAGCAGTGTGTCTGCACGTGGTAAAAATCCCAGTTGGTGAGGAACAGTTTGTCTCTGGGAAGATTGTGGGACTGGGATATGAATAGAGAGGGCCTGACAGCACCTGTTACTGCCTAGGATAAAGTGTAATTATCTTTCCACATTTTGCCACTATAAAATTTGTCATATTTGGCTGAAATTATGAATGCTGGTGGGCATGGGGTTTAATTTTTTCCCCAAGTGTCTGAAAGACCTTCAAACAATTTCAAGGAGGCCACATTGAAGAAGAGCCCCTGTCTTTCTTCTCAACTTTTCTCAAGTCAAATGGGAGATTTCTTTTTCATCTCACCAAGTGAAAGCTCTTCCAACACTGACTTTTAAAAGCATTCCCTCTGGTTATTTTTACTTAACTGTTTCTATATGAGCAACAACATCATATGATTTTTGAAGCTGGCTAAGTCAGAATTTCCAAACTGCAGTCACCACTAAATTAGAAAGAAAGCAACCCACAAGTTGTTGAATAAGTTTTAATTAATGTGTTTGAATATTGTTCCTCAGGGATATTGTATGAACAGAAAAAAATAAAACATTTATGAAAAGCTATCAGTGGAATTATCTATGCAGAAACCAGCACACACATCCAGTTTATAATTAGAGAAAAAAGCCTATTTTGTGACAGAAGTTAAGGTTGCTGTATGACAGTGTACCTGGCTATACACAACATGGGGCAGTTTCTTACTGTACAAATAACTGTCATTGTCACAAAATTGCTACCAGATTTGCTGCAGACATTGTAGTTTGAGCATTTTATAGATTGTCTGTGTACAAAGCCTATGCCACGTCTCACTGCTAAATATTTTTTATATTAAGAAGGAAGAATTGATTCCTGTGCTATCTCATCGGTTAGTTTTAAGTCATGACAAGACTTTACTCACAATCCTGTGGTTATCCAATTCCTGTAAGCCTGTGACCATCTTTGGAGAGTTCCCAGACTTTTGAAGATATTCATCATGTTCACTTTCCCAATCCCTCCACTTTTGTAGTGACATATTTCTAAGAGCTGTGCAGGATTATACAGTGGCTCATATTCATTCCAGTGTCTACTGCTTAGTCCTGAAGAATACTGACAGCACTTCTAAGTCCTGAATAAAGTTTATTGTCCTATTGGTCTTTAAAGCAATTTAATGCCTTTGAAAAATGTTCTATACCTTGCCAAACTATGTTAACTAATAAGTTCTTTCCCATTGCAAAGTTATCTCTTTGTAATTTCAGTTATTTTTTCTTCTGTCTCTGCATAAAGTGTTATTTATTAATGTGCTGTCAGTTTATTGTTTTTATAGTCTTTCTGTCTATACCTTCATCAAACCTGAACTGGCTAATCAGACAAAATAAGAGTAACTCCTTACCGGAAGTCTAGGTTGTTAAAGAGATGCAGAGGATGCTCAAGAAGTCTCCCCAGAAATCTTAGGGACACAGTTTGTTTAAAAAGTAAAAATCTTAAGACATTCAAAGTGCAGATCACTGATTTTCCATTAACACTTGAAATCCAGTAACACTTACTCAAGAAAAAAAGAACCCAAATACCCACACAACACATTAAATACATAATTAGTGAGGCACCATATCACTGTGTCAGCAGTGATCTAAATTAAGTTTGCAAGTTGAGTAAAGCTTGCAGTAGTTGGGAAGGACCTCTCTCACAAAAATCTATCAAGATGCTCCAAAGTTTTGTTTTGGTGATTCAGTAGATGGCACTTTTCCTTCTGTAAAAAAATGTCCTATATCTCAGCCAAGTGTTACAAATAGAATGAACTGTACTCACACAAAGCAGTGGTTTTATCATGTTCTTTTGTTTATGCTGTTTATTTTACATATGGAGTCACTAAGATTTGGAAACTATGCAGGAAATCATGAGTAATCATAAAATGTACATGAATCACATTAATGATTTTGCATGAGAATCAGCCATAGCAGCAATATAAGAAACATAATGATCTTTAAATTTAATCACTTTTCTCTTACAAAAAAAAAAAAAAAAAAAAAAAAAAACACCAGCCCCAGATGCTTTCCTCCTTCCCAGCCCTACTTGGAAGGGCTTCTTTAGCACCATAAAACCTTTGTAGTTATTCTTGTATAAGAATAGAAACCAAAGGAGCACGTTACAGATTACAGATGTAAAACTACATCCCTGTTTCCTCCAGTTGTTAGTATTTCAGATAAATTTGTTAAAAAATAATTTGCCGTTGCCTGATGAAGGTATTTTGTTTGAAGTTTGGGCTACTTATCAAAGGCAAAAGTTTCATAAATCCTTTTAGGTCACACAAGATCTGGATGTTCTGATTAATTTTAAACATTGTGAAACTTTCCAACCAAAGGCAAATAATTTACAAGGCAAAAAGATGCTTACATCTTAATTTGGTGAATGATAAAATACAACATTAATTTATTTTCTATCTCTCTTTAGAATGTGTTCTTAAAGGAAATATTCCACTTATCCACATACAAGTTAGGGAGGCAGTGAAACAGGAAAACTCTTTTTCTTGCCAAATGAAATTGTGTGGAAGAAAGCTTAAATCAATTGCCAGAGGCTTGAATGTTGGACACATGCTGTTTAAAATGTTCAACAAAATCTTCAAAATTAATCATAAGTTAAATTAAAACAATGGGCTAAGATAAAGTACAATGCCACTAACTTGCATACCACTCAATTGTTAAAGACAGATTTACATCTTTTATGCTTTTCGTCCTAAAAGAACAGTATGGTAATCTCTTTTCAAAATGCTTCCATACTTAACTGAATATTATGTTCTCTTAATTCTTAGACAGATTTTTAATGGTTATGATGAGAAGCTACTCTGGCTGCTTATATTCCAAACTGTAGAGTTCTAGTTCATTTGCATAGAAGCTGAAAAACTTTTCAGTTAAAGGAAAAAAAATGAAAACTATTTTTGAAGGTGGTATTATATTATATTCTGACATATTAATGACATCGTATTCTTCCACTTTTTAAAAACAGGTTACTCCTTTAAAAAAACCTCAAGGTCTCACAAAATAAAAAACACACTTCTGAAAAAACATACTTCTGAATTCAAGTCACTCATTTCCAAAATGTAGCTAGAAAACAGTGAAAGTCAGGACTGGGGCAACATCACCCTTTGCACCAGTTACTTGTCCTACTTCTCCACCACTTTGTTCTTGATATTGATTCAAAATCATACACACCATATGTATAACATGAAAGTCATCCCTTTCTGCCAATCCACAGATACTTCTCATAAGGATTTACATATTGGTAAAAAAGGTTCAGGACTGATTATTTGTAAAGCAGAACTCCAGGCATGGAGCCAAGAAGCTGAACACACACCTAAAGCTATCTTATTCTCCCTTCAAAGTAAAAGTAGAGCAGAGTTTTATGGAATCCAAATCTATTTTCCTTGCATGTTGTGTATAATGTGTAAAATAAGGATGGCAATGAAATTTACTTTTCTTATCTGGAAAATCTTTTGCTCAGTGATGTTGTGAAAAGAAAGAGTGGTTATTTTCTCCTAACTTAAAAACATATATGCAGTAATTTTTCCATTAAATATGAATAAAATGTATCCTGTGCATTGCTTATGTTCCTTCAGTCTGCTCAGGATGGAATGCCACATTTATTAACCCAGTTTAAAGAAAATTTATATTAATGTCTCTGTATTGAATGCCAGCACACAAGACTTACTACAGCTTCATGGGGAAGTGCTGGAAGATAAACATGTTGAAATTAAGTCCTTCTTTGAATTACTTCTGTTCTATCAGGCTTCCTTCATGAGCTGTGAACAACCATAACATATGAACCCATTCTGCATCTGGGATATTCCTCAGGCACTAAAATGCACTGGGGTTTTTTTCCCATAAAATTTTAACTAGAGGTAGTTATCTAAAAATGTCAAAAGCTTTGAAAAGTGCACAAGGGAAAGAACTTTAACTATTTATTTTCTACAAACTAGTCCCTCAGTAGCTAGATAAAGAAATAGAGCATGTAATAAATAAAAAAAAAAAAGAGTATTAAT